ACAAAAACTCGAGAATAATCGCACTTATATAACTTCTTTGGTAAGCACCCTCTTAATCCATGGTTCTTATTTCATTTTTTACCATTTTCCATTGGCTTGGTGTTTTTTCCCCTATCACTTTTAATGCTAAATAAAGTTAAATTTTTATCATAAGTTTTCCTATTAGTTGATTTTTTTTGTTGATACGTTCTTTTTTCATTTAGTTCATTTTTGCTTAGTTGTTATAATGCATTAATTTTTCTAAAATTTATGTATAGGCATAGTTGTATGGTGAAATAATTTTTGAAAGTTTTATGAGGCAGAACACTTATAAATATATTAATCTTAATACATTTTTAGTTGATGATTTAGAACTCAAATCTCAATATATATATATATAAATTTTTAGTAGATGATTTAAAACTCAAATCTCAAAAACAAAATTAAGTTCACTCCCCATTTCCATGTTAATGATATTGGTTATGATGGTATCACTTGACAACTACCAAAACACAAATTTCTTAGTTATTTCCTTTATCATTTTTATTCGCATGAAGAGTTAAGAAGTACGATTGGGAAGGAAGCATTGAAGCCAGTTTCTTTTTACATTGGATTCTTTTAAAGAAATTAAGGAGGTGAATTTTAAGAAAAATCATAAGCTGACTTACTTGAACAACATTATTCATGTGAACTAGAAAGAATCTAGGCCAAAAGCTCCAAATAAATGACTTAGAGTACATGACCTGACTTATGCTAGTTTAGATGTAACAATAAAATTGTCATCATTGATGTGAAATATTTGTAAAGTGTTAATTTCTATATTTCACTTGTTGATGATAATAAAATTGTCACCATTGACGTGATGTAAAATATTTGTGAAGTGTTAATTTCTATATTTCACTTGTTGATGACAATAAAATTGTCATTATTGACGTGATGTGAAATATTTGTGAAGTGTTAGTTTATATATTTCACTTGTTGATGTTGTACAAAGTTGCTTGTGATAAATATCATTGCTTCCAAATGACTAAACAGAAGGCTAGGATCTAGTGCGCACTTGAATGAACCCACTATAAAGTACAAATTTTGCCCTGTATATCTGGCAAAGGCCATAAAAAGTGAATCAGAGTTAGAAGCTAAGGTTGAGAAATCATCATTTATGGTTACTATGTTTTGCTGTGCTGATAATAAATGTTAATATTTTTTTCATACTAATGTTTGGTTTCCAAACTTGAATGATGTTTTGATAGTTAACATTGCTATACGCATCACTTAAAGGATATATTAGCCATTATCCCCATTCCCCACAATCAAATACCTATCTGTTTTAGTTTTCATGACATTGGTCTTCGGATAGGTGCCTAATTTTTTGTGCGTCTAGGATGTCTAGAATGACCAATATAAATCAAACTGATATTTCCAAATTCAAACTGAAGTTTAGTTGATTGGATTACATATTAGATTCCTTCATCCAATAGTCAATATTTTCTTATTTTGGGCTTACGATTAGTATAAATATCTTCTTTTTTTATTGCTTGATTTCTGGTAGTCTTTTATTTGTGGATGTTGAGCAATGATTTCTTACATGGAATACTATAAATGAGATGTTAATTTGTTGCTGGAATAGAAAGCTAATTTGGTATTAAGAATTTAAAACATAAAATTTATTATGTGTTTAGATTTAATAGTATTTGCCAAACCAAAATCAAATACTTGATCATAGTCCCCTTGTAATAAATTCATGTGCTTAGGCATACTTGAGCTAGAATTTCAACATAAGTTGGGGCTACTACTTTTTGTCCCTATTGATCAGCATCATATATATGTGTGTGTATGGTTGTAGCAAGAAATTGTTTATTTTTTAGCTATAGGGTAATAAGTAGTAATGGATTGTATATAATACTCACTTGCATGTTTTGTTATGCAGACTTTGTGATCAATATTTGCAGTATGCATGGAACCAAGTTGATTTTGATTTTACTAGAGAGGAAAACAAGGTTTAACCTCCATTTCCATCTCAAGAAGTAGCATAAAAAGCTTTGCCCATGCATTTTCTAATAGTTGGAGGTTGTAAGCTTTTTATCTATATTGCATGCTTGCATTTCCTTTACTTGAAAAAAGAGGAAAATTTCCAATACTTTGGGTACAATCTAGGTTCTACTTCTACAACTTTCATTCTATATATCCATATATCAAATTCAGCTTAGTAGTAAAAACTTCAATTTTATTTTTGTTGGTAACTTGACATATCATATTTCTGTTAGTGTTTTGACATTAACATGGACATTGCCTGACATCAGAGACTGCTTTAAAGAGGTTGATTTGAGTCTATTTAGTTTTGACTTCAATAAATGCATGATACCATAAAGTTGACAAGAACAGAGAAATTTTGAGTGGGGAGGGGTGTAGGGTGCGAAGAGGCAGCAAGTTTACATACTATATGTTCTATAGCTCCATTTCAAGTTTACCTTTGCTTCTTTGAAATACTCAATTATGTAAAACTAAATATGAATTTAATATATTTATTTATATAGTTCGATAGCCTAGTAGTCCAAATATAAAAAGTGGCACTTAAATTTTGTCATTCTATTTAATTCGGTGTTGAATTTAAGTTGAAATTTGAAATGATATTCATTTGATTCATAACATAAGATCTAGATTATAAATTGAGGGTGAAAGCTTAATTCAATAGTTAATAATATTTTACTCACATGGTTGCATATGATGTTAAACATTTTAACACTGATAGCAAGTTTGCATTGTTACTTTTGATTCAATCTGTTGGTTTGATTTTTATTTTTGTTGTGTTTTAGCCTAAAGTTACATGTGCTACTTTTATGGAAGATATAATGCCTGGATGTAATTTTCTTTCACATAAGATAATTCTAATGTTAAGCAGCTTGATTTTTACATTTTGATTTATACCATCTACTTTTTCAAATCTCCATATAAGTTACAAAGCTGTATCAAATTAAATTTAATATATGATTCTATTTAAAATTATATATAAGAAAAAGAATAACATGTGCATTGCACGGGACTAAAACTAGTTTTATGATAAAGTTTGTACATTCTAGAGAGATCTTCCGATTAAATATGGCTAGAATCAAGAAATTAGTGAACCAAAAACTTTTTAGGCAAAAATGATAAAGTAAAGATTAACAAATAGAGCAGTAATGACAATTAGAAGATTCAGGACCTTATCATCTCTAAACAATGTACGACACCCAGAGTGCTCATTCTCAAGCAATTCATTTGCATGGGTCACAAGCAACTCGTGTTGTACTTTCTATAAAAAATTAAAACGAATTTATTTAAAAAAATCATAATAGAAAAAACATATTATATTGCAATAACAACAATAAGAAAATCAAAATTAACAGAAGCAAATCTCAGTTTTGTCCCCTTTCTAACATTTTTGTATCAAAAACAAATTCACCTATCATAAGCCTTCCTTACTGCATCTTTTTCTGCAGACTTGCCCCCTCTGGCAAGACTATTGGAGCTTCCTTCAAAATGTTTTCTAGAATAGTCAAAATGTTTTCTCCTTTGACTTCTCATATATCAGTTTACATGTATCATTCTGCTGGTCTATGATATGAGTATACGTGGCTTAAAAAGAAACAAAATCAATCCAATACAGGTTTTTCATCTATCACTATAAAATGTAGACCTCTATAGCATGGACATATGGTTGTCACTGATGTTACAATATTGATCACCAATAAAGAATTTGACTCAGAGAATAGTTAGTCATACCTGGAATATTATGCAGCTAACTTGTGACAAATATGTGATAATGATAATGGGCAGTGTCTTGCCTCCTGGAAATATGAAGAACTACACAAATTTAACCTCATGCTTTAATACCAGTTTAGCGGCATTACTCAAAATAAAAGAAATAATTTGTCGTCATTGTCATTGATCAGCCTGAGTTTTGATAAGAATCAGGATTCAGACTTGCTCATAATGGACTGAAACGGGGGAAGCAACAGGGGAATGACTTAGATTAAGTTTTCCATTTGATCTAAGTTAGTAATGAAAGTAGCTGTTTAGATTTAGATAGAGGAGATACAAAGCAATGGAGGCATACCAACTGATTCAGAGGGGCCAAGTTTAAAAGACACGAAAGCTTCAAAATTTCTCACATGAACAATTTAGTTTTGATTAATGATACTGATATGTTGTTAGAAGATAGCCAACATGTTGAAACTATACTATTAGGCTGCATGCTTATTTAAAAGTGCAAAATTAAACTCAACAGGAACTAATGGAAAAGGCAATAGGACAATGATTTAGACGATGGCAATTCATTACTGATGAAGATTAAAGATACAAATTAAATCATATTCAGGGAATATGATTTATAGACTTTTAGCATGGAAGTCTCGTGAAAATAGTTTGTAGACTTTTGTTTTTTTTAAAAAAAAAAATTTATATCATCTGTTCTAAGTAATGCAAATAATGGTTGGTTCAAAAAAGAACAAACGTTCTAAGAGGCATACCACTGATTCAACTGACCAGCGAGGGTAAGTTTAAAATACACACAGAAGATTTATTTAATAATAAGGATACCTGTCTGTCTTCATAAGTAGGAGCCAATGTGTTGTAGTTCAGTATTGGACTCCACAGTCGATTTGGAGTGCACAAACTTAACAGGAAGTGGCAGCGGTTAAATGCAGTACTGATAAGCATAAACAACATTGGAAATCCTGTCCGAAAAATTTTCTCTGTAAAAGTTGATTAACTTTAGCCACCATAATTTATGTAATTTGAAATCCCATCAAAATTTAACTTTCGATCAGTCACAGTACTCACTTGTGAAGTAAGGTGAAAAAGAACAGGAAGCTGAGAGAGGGAAAATTTTGCCATCTGGAGGAAACTTCTCGGCTAGACCCCAAAATCAAATCCAACGTATGGACCAGGCTTCGGACCGTGAATAAAGCTTTTAAAGATACTTGCATATACTTATTTAACAATATCATTCTTGACTAGTCATGACCATGACATTGGAAAAGAACGTTCCCTTTCATGGGGCCAAATCTTCGACGACACACAATGAGATTCTTTTTCGGGTGAGCCAATGGCAGATTGAATTTTCCCGGACGTCTTTCAAAATTTCCACACGCATATTAAAGATTTTTGTTATTTAGACTTACTTTTGTAGCTGACCCGGTGATCACTCTCTCAAGTCTTCCTTCTCTGCAGTTTCCATGTTCTTTCCGATCATTTATCCACCCATAGCTTGCTTCATCATTAGCTCCAAATTAAGCTAAATTAGTTGCAGGATTGAACAAGTGCCCAAGTCATGGAAGCTCTTCGTATCTCCATGTTTCCTCTCTTTTTCCTCCTTCAATTCTTCTACGTGGCTTTAGCCGACAACTACACTGTTCCGGATAAGTATTTCATCAATTGCGGGTCCGATCGCAGCGAAACCCAAGATGTTCAGGTTTTCGTTCCTGACTCTTCCGTCTGCTTTTCGAAGCACAGCTCGGTCGCGCAGGAACATAATAAATCTTCAACCGCAGGTCCTCTGTATCGAACCGCGAGAATCTTTCGTGGTCCGTCTGGTTACAAGTTCAGGATCCACGAAAATGATGGCGGCTATTATGTGGTACGTCTCCATTTCTATGCTTTCTCGTCCCCAGATATTCTATCTAGGGCTCGATTCAATGTTTCGAGTGCGGGATTTTTGTTGTTGGATAATTTCAGTGCCGAAAGTCTAACAAACTCTCCCGTAGTTAAGGAGTTTTATCTGAAAATCAATAGCAGCAGGAGCTTTCAAATCGATTTTATTCCTGTGGATTCAAGTTTCGCATTTGTAAACGCCATAGAACTGTTTCGACTCCCCGATAATTTTATCCCCAGCAAGGCTCTACCACATGCTACCAGCAAAGGAAAATCCAGTGATTACAAGGGCATTCTCTCCTCGGTGTTACTTAAGAGTTACAGGCTTGATGTTGGTGGCTCTGAGCTTGAAGAAATTGATAGCTTGCGGAGAAGTTGGGTGAAAGATGATCGATACGCTAAAAATGGAGAACCGATATCTCGCGCTGTTAATATTAAGTACGTCGGCGAAGAAAATAATAATCTGGATAATAGCGGTGGCCTTTTTGGCCTGGCATCCACTGATGTTATAGCCCCAGACACTATTTACCAGTCAGCCAGAGCGATGACTTCAGGTTCTGTCAATGGGGATAGGTCTTTAAACGTATCATGGGATCTTCAGGTAAAGAGCAATGCTAGTTATTTCATTCGAGCTCACTTCTGTGACATTACCACTATGAGTGATGGTCTTACATACTTCAATTTTTATATCTACAACAACTTCAATTGGTCAGTCCGCCCCGATTACTGGAGATCTTCTGTTCCTTTTTATCGCGATTTTGTAGTCGATTCTGACGGCTCTGGAAACTTGAGGATCAGCGTTGGCCCTGATGAAGCATCTATTGTTAAAAATGCTTTCCTGAACGGTCTTGAAGTGATGGAAATCGTTAAAACGCCAGGTCAATATGAAGGGATCGAGTACGAATGTAAGAAGCAGAATCATAATCCTCTTCCTGTTCCTCTAGAGGTGGGGCTTGGAGCATTCGTCCTGATTTGCATTATGTTAATTGGGCTCTGTTTGATCCTGAAATGTGTGAAACCAGAGATTATTACTGCACTGGATTGGGCGCCACTTTCAGTTAAAGGAGGAGGGAGTTCCCACGGCAAAGGAAGCAACCATGGCTCGTCTCTGGGCAACTTAAAACTGGGACTGAAGATGTCTTTTCACGAGATTCAATCGGCAACAAACAATTTTCACACAAAACGGATTGTTGGGAAGGGTGGATTCGGCAATGTGTACAAGGGAGTTCTCAAGAATGGCGTGAAAGTAGCTGTGAAGAGAAGTAAGCCAGGGTCATCAGGACAAGGATTCCCAGAATTTCAAACTGAGATCATGGTCTTGTCCAGAATTCGACATCGTCATCTTGTTTCCTTGATCGGGTATTGTGACGAGAGGTCTGAGATGATACTGGTTTATGAGTACATGGAAAAAGGGACACTCAGAGATCACTTGTACAATTCAAATCTCCCAAGCTTGACTTGGAAACAAAGGCTTGAAATCTGCATCGGAGCAGCGAGGGGTCTGAATTACCTTCATAAAGGAGCAGCTGGCGGAATCATTCACCGTGACGTGAAGTCCACCAACATATTGGTCGACGAAAACAATGTGGCCAAAGTTGCTGACTTTGGCCTTTCAAAAACAGGTCCTCTTGATCAACAACCATCTGTCACCACAGGTGTTAAAGGCACTTTTGGATATCTCGATCCTGAGTATTTCAGAACCCAACAGTTAACGGAAAAATCTGATGTTTACTCATTCGGGGTGGTCCTTCTCGAAGTGTTATGCGCAAGACCAGCACTTGATCCGACACTTCCATGGAATCAAGTGAACTTGGCTGAATGGGGAATGTACTGCAAGCAAAGAGGGACGCTGGATCAGCTGATAGATCCAATGATCAAGGACCAAATAGATCAGAACTCACTCAGAAAATTCAGTGAGACGGTGGAGAAATGTCTGCAAGAAGATGGTTGTGACAGGCCGACGATGGGTGATGTATTGTGGGACTTGGAGTATTCACTGCAACTTCAGAGAGGAGCGAGACAGAGGAATTCATCATCACAAGAGTATTCTTACAGTGGGACTACAGCATCAATTGAATTGACCAATGTCAGGCGTCTTCCTTCACTGTCAACACCAGGAGACTCCGACGTCATGCCAATCTTGAACGATGATAGTGCATCGCATTGTTTTCTCTCTGTCGTCACAAATTGATGGTGCCAGATAAGCAACTCTTGAGCCCCTCAAATTAAAATCACCATCTTAGGCTTCGCTTAATTTCTTTGGCTTGCGAGTTTCTCTTTGGACTTGTTAATATAATTTTTGTTACCTTGCTCATTGAAAAGTGGGATTAAGTCGTAAGATTAATGATAATTTTGCTGTCGATATTGTGATTGATCAACTGCTTAATCAATGTTGAGTTTTTAAGCATGCCCACCTATGTTAAACCAATCAATATTGTGATTGATCAAGTTTGACATTTGGGTATTTAAGTTTATTTTTTTTAAAGTATCTATAATTTATTTTAGAGAGTAATTAAACTTGACACGTGTGAAAATAATTGTTAGGATAAGTTGCTTCTATTTTTATAAGGGATGGTCAAACTTCAAATTATATAAATTCTTATATTTGATTAAAATTAAATGATACATTCTACTTTGCTTTTTTGTTTTACAAAAATAATTAAAAAAAATGATAGTGACACTTTTGCGGAGGTGATAATATTTACTTCTCATGTACATGTTTGTCAGTTGAACTTTTGACTTTTATAAATACTCTCTTCGCTTTCATCACCTTAACTAAAATTACATTTTTGGCCAAAAAAAAAACTAAAATTAGATCAGATGACTAGTGATCACATTTATATTGAACAAACCTATTTCCATAGAATGAATGTCAATTGATATTAATAATATAAACTATACTTCCTTTATTAAAAAATTAAGCTATTTTTAATATTTTAAGGTGTAATTGTTGCACCTTTTTAGAATTGTCTCTAATGAAAAAAATCACTTTGTATTTATTTTAGAGTGAAACACTCTATTAAATAAGAATAAATATAAAAAAATGATATTAGTTTGAATATAAGTAATTTTTTTGCTGAGGGATAGAATTCGGTTAAAAATATTTTATATTTTTTTAAGGAAGAGAGCAAATTTTTGGGAGCCATATTTTCCTCGACTTTATGAAACACAAGTCCCTCAATTTTGCATATAGCCCATATAAATAAGGCAGTCCATTTTATTTTATTTTATTTTATTTTTTGATAAGAAAACAGTCCATTTTAATTGACAAAAAAGTCAATTTTATAAATCTGGAAAATTTATAGATATTAAATAATGATGATATGAGTTTAAAATATGCATATTGAATAGCATCATACGCATAAATGGAGAATATTCAGCTATGGCAAAATACATATATCCCCAGGCGTGCATTGACCTGTTTCCCCAGAAGTATTATTTCATTAATTTCCTTCATAAATCAAATTATTATTTTTAAACGCAAATAAGTCTTTATTGTGAGATATTTGTTTGACTTATGTCCCCATGCGTGCATTGACCTTTGTAACAGATTTCCTAACCCAAATTAAAAAAAAAAAATGGATGTCTCTGCAACTCTGCAACTACCTCTTCTTTTGTTGGTAAACAACCACAGGTGCTTTTGTCCAACAAAAGAAAGCAAAAGAAAAAATAACACAAGTTCTTTTCACAGTACAAACAAGGAAATTGGGTCTACAAATGCTATTCCATACCTGACTCTTCATTATATTAAAAAAGTTAAAAATACCATTTTCTGGGGTTGCATGATGTTAAAAATACTCTCCTTTTTTCTTGTTTTCTGGGGTCGTCGCAAAAAAAAATCATCTTCTCATCTTGCAGAGAATCTCATCAACAACTTTAGCATTTAAAAATGACCTTCTGGTTAGTGTTTACGTGCTTTAAACTTGCACACAACCTGCAAATTTTGAAATTCTAAGGAAATATAGCATAACTAATCTAAAAAGCTGAATCTGATCTAGTAGATAAACATCACACTATATATATATATATATATATCCTGTACAAAGCAGCTGTTTGTGTTATGAAGCAAAATGTATGATATGAGCAGAAGATATTACAGAGGAAAAGCTGGGGGAGAGAGAGAGAGTAGAAATATTGGTAAACTTGGGACAATATTGCTTGTGCTGTGGCTAGTGACCAGGACCTTTTGTGCTAGGCCCTGAAGAAAACGTGAAGACTTTATTTTGCATCAGAACACGCTTTATCAGATCATCATCTTCAGCGTTGGGCTTCTCTTTCACGAGAGCTCTATTCAGAAACTTAGGCTCTGCTTTTGATGGAAGTGCTCTGCTATCTGCAACTCCTGGCCTCGTCACAAGAATCAGCACTGTGAGAGCCATTAAAAGCAAAAGAGAGAGCTTCATTATTGTTTCACCACACTAACGGTGATGAAATGGTTGAAATGTTTTATACCCTGGGAAAGATATGTGGTAGTGGAGATTGAAAAGAATGGCTCAGAATCTCCAAAGACCAAGCAAAGCGATGAGGGATTGATTTTACATTTGCATAAACGGAGCAGGTCGGAGGCCAAATGGACGGTGAAGAGGTCATTATGTGCTGGGAGATTTTAATCTCTCTCTCTCTTTCTTTTTTATTTTTTAATATCCTGAAGTCAATTAATTTGAGTCCGACTAATCAGGTTCAAAGAAATAACGGTGCTCGGAGAAATCAAACTACTACCAAAAAAAAAAAAAAAAGCACAAAGGAGAGAGGAAGAAACTAATACGAGTAAAGTTAGGTAGAACCACGATAGTAATGATAGAATTCTTCCATTAAATTCTCGACATAGCTATATAGGCAAGACTTATTAAACTAGCACGGCCTTTTGTTACTGCGTATTATTTTGAGTTTTCTTTATAGTTGGTCTACAAAATAACATGGTACTCTCTCAACTCTTGTTTATTTCATTAAAATTAAAAATTAAATTTCATTAACTCAATTTAAAAATTGAAAATTTTTTAATTTTATCTTTATTAAATATATGTACTTTACAAATAAAACATTCCAACATTTCCTATCCTCTCAACATTTAATAGAAGTAAAATAGTAAAAATTGACATATGCACGGGACTAGAGGAGTAACCAGGAATTTTAAAATCAGGATTTTTCAAAAAGTGGGACCCATGGGAGGGAGTCGTTGACTGAAACATTTGATAATGGGTTAAAATCAGGCGCAGAAATGGCTCACGCATTTTGGTGTTCCCATTAGTAAACTCCAAAATTTGACTTTTCAACATAATTGCTGACTTGGGAAACTCAGTGGATCCGAGCATTGCGAGCCTAAAGTGCAAATATTTGGAGTGGAAGCCGAGTGCAGCAGATGCAAAAGTGAGCAGATGGCCGGTTTACATTCTCATTCCAACAAGATTGTAAGATTCTCTTAAAAAGCATTACCTTTCTGTGGTAATGAAACCAATAATATGAACAAAATTGGGATGGTCAAAATTAGTGATGAGTATATAAACACAGTACTATTTATTAGTATTATGAAGAGAGCTAGTTTTAATTAATTAAGTAAAGCTCGTCATGTTGGGAGTGGTCAAGGGAATGGAGGAAAATGGTAGGCGGAGCTGTGAGAAACCTTATTCCTTGTGCTCTTTTGAGAATTGATGGACACAATAATGGCGTATTTATTTATTACGTTTAAAAACGCAAAAAAAGAACCGGAATCTCTTGCGGGTGGTGGTTTCCAAATTCCAGTGTTTCTTCTTTTTTTAAAAAAAAAAATTATTAGATTGAGGTTTGCAGAATCTCGGCTACTTTTATTTAGGTTCATAAAAAAAGCTTCTTCCGTTTTCTTTAAACGTTTGTTGGCAGAAAAAGATGAATATAATAAATGTGAGAATGAGATCAATTGGATTGACCATCCCCGTTCAATTTATGTCTTGTGTCTTTTACAGAAAGAGAACAGATAAGTAAACAAATGGGGAGTCCTATGACTCAAGAAACCTATTCACTAAAATAAATTATTGTTAAAATAAAAATATGACATATTCTTTCTCAAATTAAACTTTTTATTAATCATTGTATGTGAATAAATTTATAGAGTAATCCTTTGATGTGATTTTTACTAAACAAATATGAATATAGACAATATTATTGGGAGTAAGCAAGGTTGTTAAATTTAAAAATTTAAGTAAACTCGTAACAAGAATGTAAACTCAGATTGTAAACTCAAAAGAGTTTGCATTTACTAATAAATAGCCATTAAATGTATATAATTAAATAGTTAAAATATAAAATATGATTAAAATTTGATTTAAGCATATTTAACGTATAAATTATTAAAATTAAATCTATCTACATTGATATATTATCGTACAAAACATGAAAAATTCAAAATAAGGCAACTTAATTTCTTTTTTATTAATATCAATTTTTCTTTTTAAATTTTATTTTTCTTTGAACTGGGTCCTAGCAATTCTAAGAGCTAAATTCTACATAGTGTGTGTGTATTTTCATAGTATATAATTAACTCGATAAAAAATCAAAGAACTTAATACATTTAACTGAGTTTGCATTTAATTTGAATTTATGAACAAGTTCACACAATTTTGCAAGCTTGAAACATAAAATTGGTAAACTCAAAAGTCAACTCCCGATCTTAACCAAATTTATATCTAGTTTAAATTTATAAGTAAGTTGATACAATCTTATAAGCTAGAAATGTAAAAACGATAAATTCATAGAGTTAATTCAAAAGTTTGATAACAATGGGAATAAAACAACAACCAGAGCTATGATTTAACCATGGGGCTTGCAATTTAAGGATCAATGGTTCAATCACGGAAGAATAAATCAGAGTAAACCTAGTTAGTATTAAAATAATTTAATTTAATTTAAAAATATATATAATAAAAATATTCATATGCATTCCCTTGGTCCCTATATGAAAACTGTTTTTTAGAAGTTTGTTTTGTCCCTGGATGTCTTAATAATTTTGAGTAATTTGATAATTTTATCTTTTTTGTGTCTTGAAAAGGAAAAGAAATATTAATTGTAAATTTACATACCATTATGATTTAATTATGATATTATTAGGGGCAAAACTATAAAATTGTACTTTTATATGGCTTCAACTAAATAATAAATTTTTTATTGATGTACGAGATTTGATTAAACATACAAAATAACTTGTAAAGAATAATATATTTAAAGAAAATTAGTTCAATGGCATCTAAAAATACAGCTCTCATAAATTATAGATAAAATTTTTGAATATCTTAAAATATGGCTCATTCATAAAATCAATTAGATATATTTTACTTTTTTATCCTCAGTTTAAATTTATTATTAAAACACAATATATATATATATATATATTGTAACTAATCTTTAA